TTATTATTCATATCAAGCTTGTCTAAAGAAACCAGGAAGTGTTTGGTGCGGCGATGAAGGGAAGCTGATGGCGCCGCTGCCGTACCTGAGAGCTGATCTCTTCTCTCCGCAGCAGGCGGATGGCGAGCCGAAGAAGACCCACCACGGCTCGCTCCACCAGGAAGCAGCTCTCCGTGGCGTGAACACACAGGTGATACAGGTGGTCCCGTACCGTTTGCCAGACACATGACACGCGGTCCCTTCCAATGCAGAAACATCGGTTAATAAAAGAGAAACACTCCTACAGCACTTCTGAAAAAGGTCCACACACCTATTCTCCAGAACAATCCGCAGCAGCATCTCCAGGCAGAAGGCAGCATCCTCTTCATCGTAGGTGTCCTCATCTGGACTGACGGATATGAGGGCCTTAGAGGGGAGGCGCACATGAGGGAGTTATTGAAATAAGTAAAACTTGACAGAAGAGAACAGAAGACATCCAGGTAGAAAGATGGAAAACCTTCATGAGCTCCTGCAGAGACTCCAGCTGGAGGAATTTACTCTCAGTGATCAATTTCTCTGGGTCAGATTCCTGGAAGAAACAGAAGAAGGAACACTTTATTCATCCTAAAGGAACATTAAAGGTCCTTGAAGGTGTGAGATGAAATATTAGACTGTGCCTCTCCTTGGACAAATAGAGATAATCTTAATCCAAACTCCACAAAGGTCAGATCACAGGGTTCCTGTCAGATTCATGGTGATGCCCGCAGGCAGGAACATCACCATGGCCTCGTTAGTCTTCCATCAGCTTCAGATGGCCCAGAAATTATCAAACCCTCATTTCACTTCATCAACTCAGTCCTAATGGAGCTTCACTGGATTCAGTATAAAATCCTCCTGTTTGCTTTCAAGCTGAAAGAATCACCGCTCCCCAAGGGGGTGGGTTACACGCAGAGGTCCATTTCTCCAGTGTGAGATTAATTAAGTTCAATAATTAATTTTTTACTGGAATATATAGACTGTAAAAAATGCCTTTAGCTGACAGAATGACCCAATTAGAGCAGTAATTATAAGAAAACTTTAAAGATATATATAAATATTTTGCATTTTTCGTCTGTCAGTCTGCTCTATCCAGAACTCCTCAAGAAGAAACGTTTTAATTTCACCTGGTTTAATTCTGATCTATCCAATTATTAATCGATTAATTGAAAAAATAATCGACAGATGAATCGATTTGCAGAATATTGGTTAGCTCCAGGCCTATTAACGGTGAAACCTCCTCTAAACAGTGACTGATGGCTCAGTGGCTGTTTGGAAACGCTTGGTTGTAAATCAAACCAACCTCCAAACACAATTTATCATTCCACCTTAATGATGTCCAGGCATATTTACCAGTGCTCCCTAATACTGCCACTGCTCTCCCCTCTCTCCATAGCTGCCTTTTGGACTTTAAACAATGGCTTACACCTCCATGACAGTAAGTGACTTAATCATTTTTTGTTCCAAGGATGTCCCTCAGATTCCGTCCAGGGTCGGGATTTCAGTCAGCGATGAAACTGGTAGTTGTCTTCGATCGTGAACTGAACTACAAACAACAACTAAATGCTGTTGTCAAAGCTAGCTTTTTCCAGCTGCGCCTTTTGACCAACATGAAACACATTCTCTCACGCCAAGACCTGGAGAAGGCGATTCACGCATGTATTAGTTCTCGGTTGGACTACTGCAACGCTCTCTACTCTGGCCCTCACAGTCGTCACTCCAACAGTTACAGTTAGTATAGAATGCAGCAGCTGGTCTCCTCTCTGGTTCATCCAGGCAAAGCCACATCACGCCCATCCTCTCCTCCCTGCACTGGCTCCCGGTCTGTTTTCAGATTGATTTTAAAGTTTTAACACTTGGTAAAGTTTTAGCGCTTCAAGGTCTCGCTCCGCTATATTTAGCTGAGATGTTGACCCATACATCGCCCAAGCAGACCCAAATGGTTCTGGACGTCCCTAGGTCACGGTATAAACAGTGGGGCGATCGTTCCTTTGTGATTACCGCACTTAAACTGTGGATCAACCTGCCCCCAGTGTTGCAACCTCCTCAGTAAGGAAAGTAGCTATTGGCTGTGCTGTAAGTCGCTAGAAGTCGCTGAATGACGTCATTGCCTAATTTGCATAATATATATATATTTTTTTTTCAACTTTTTTTTTACTTTTTCTTTTCCCCTTGTGGTCCACTAAGGAGCTTAAAAATCTTGGTAAAACATTAACATTTTGAACAACAACAATTAACAATCTAAATGGAACAAAAAAAGGC